CTGCCAGCATTTTCATATCCTTCGATCGGGACGATTAAAAATACAAACACCATTGAAGAATTCAAACAACTGGATAAGAATGCATTGTTTAGAGAAGTCACCGAGCAAGTAAGTGTTCGATTAATTCAATTTCCAATTGAAAGCTTCAAATATCTAATTACTTTAGCAGATCTGGCAGGACATTATCTCTGGCGCCGCAGTAAATTCACCTTTTCTTCTCACACGGTTTATTCTCATCACTTTTGCCGATTTGAAAAAATATAAATACCATTTTTGGTTTGGATTTCCAGCCTTACTTACCGAGCCACCCTGGATAATTGAAGATAATGAAGTCAAAAGCGTTGGCAGTGTATGGGACGAGAAAGACGTCAGTTGGCGAATATCTTTGTTATAATATTTCTGTTCATGAAAATGCATATTTATTTCTGTAATGAAAATCTTCTAATTCAAATATTTAACCGTATAGGTAGGAACATTCAAGAAAAATTATGAATTATTTACACAAGGGCATCCCAGCACATGCATAGGGTTTTTCCTTGTCAAAAAGGTTGACAACGGAGAAATAGAGGTTGGTGGTCTTTCTGAATGGGACACATTCTTTAAAGGCTGTGATAATGACGAGGTAGGTTTTTTTCTATCTGGAAATCTTATAATTATTATAGTGAACTTAGACAAACAATTCTATATAAGAAAATGATAGGATTTGCCGATCCTTCAAGCTTGCCTGACAATCCCGGATGGCCCCTGCGGAATTTTTTGGTACTCGTACACCGTCGGTGGAATGTTCACAAGATCAAGGTGCTATGTTACAGGGAGATTCCTGGAAAAAAAGATATCTCGCAAAGTCGTATTTTAACCGTGGTCTTACCCGATCCAGTAAAGATTAATGGTGGATAAATTTCATTTATCATATGTATTCTGTTTATCTGTCCGACAAAGGTATTTACATAAACATTGGATTTGCTTAATTAGATGATTGTCCAAAATCTGTTGGCTGGGAAAAAAACTCCCAGGGAAAACTTGGACCTCGTATGGCCGACCTTTCGGATCTAATGGACCCAAAGAGGTTTTTTGTTTCTTAACAAGTTTTAATTCTTACCCGAGTGTTCCTCGAATCTAGTATTCATAGTGCTTTAACGCTCAGATTAGCCGATACCTCAGTTGATCTAAATCTAAAATTAATGCGATGGAGGATTATCCCGGAACTAAATCTGGAAAAGATCAGAGACACAAGATGTCTATTGCTTGGTGCTGGAACTCTTGGTTGTTATGTCGCTAGGGGATTGCTGGTATGATGACGTTTAGGATGTTTCTGTTAAATAAGAATCGCGTTATTAAAGGAATATGGTTGCTTTATCAAGGGATGGGGTGTTCGTGAGATCACTTTTGTAGACAACGCACGTGTCTCTTACTCCAATCCCGTCCGACAACCGTTATTTTTTTTTGAGGACTGTCTGGAAGGTGGAAAACCCAAAGCACAAACTGCGGCCGAAAACTTGAAAAAAGTTTACCCCGGGGTTGTATGTGTAGATTAACGCACATGTTATGTTGATTTTGGAGTACCAATACGAATTTTACAAAGGAAAATATGATTATTTAGACAAGTGAAGGATACGAATTGAATATCCCCATGCCAGGTCATTCAATTTCCTCGGAGGAAAAGACTAAAAGCGATGTTGAAAAACTCACCCAACTCTTTGAATCACACGATGTCATATTCTTATTAATGGACAGTAGGGAGAGTCGGTGGTTGCCTACGTTACTAGGTGCAACAATGCGTAAGGTTTGTAATTACGCACATGAGTTTCTTTTATCGTAATAAAATTTAACGTTGCATGTCCCTGGCACCTTTTGACCTTTTGCAGCTAGTCATGAACATCGCGCTAGGTTTTGATACATACGTTGTAATGCGACATGGTGTAAAAGATGATACCGAGGCTCAGGCGACCACCTCATCTAGTAAAAGCATTCCATTAGTAAAGAAACTTGGGTGTTATTTCTGTAATGATGTTGTGGCACCGGTCAATTCTCTTAAAGATCGTACACTCGATCAACAATGTACAGTAACTCGACCTGGATTATCAGCCATTGCTGCAGCACTTGGTGTTGAATTGATGGTTTCTGTCTTACACCACGATAAAGGGTATTTGTAGTTATTTAAAATTTAATCATCACTTTACTATTGAC